ACATCCCCGGAGCATTCGACTCTGTGTGGCACACGGGTCTGCAGGCCAAGCTGAAAGCTTTCGGAGTTGAAGGTGCCCTTCTAAAACTGCTGAAGAGCTATCTGACAGACCGATACCTGGTGGTTGCTATGCATAGCCAGGAATCTACAAAATATCTCATTTGTGCAGGTGTTCCTCATGGGAGTATTCTTGGACCAATTCTTTGGCATATATACGTAAATGACCTCTTAGATGCATTATCTGAAACAGACACATATGCAGATGATAAAACACTGTATCTCATGTAACCATTCCGAGTGTCAGACGGCAACAGTTGCAATACAAAGAGCAATTGATTTTACTAGCTTCTGGAGCACATTGTGTTGTCATAAAAACAGCAAATAAGACACGATTTTACTAGCTTCTGGAGCACACTGTGTCGTCACAATAACAGCAAATAAGACACTCCTAAGCTGTACCTTAACAGACAAGAAGTAACAGAAAAGGATTCCTTGCGCATCCTAGGGATTACTTTTGATAAGAAGTTATCATTCAGCAACCAGAGTCACCAGAGCTGCCGCAGCCTTTGTGCAGCAGGTCCAGATCAGCAAAGTCCAAAACATCCTTAGTATATATATTATTATATTATTTTAATATATATATAATATATATATATATATATATATATATATATACTTAGTATATATAAAATATAGTATATACTATAAAATATATATATATATATATATAATATATAATATATATTATATATATATATATATATATAGATATATATACATACATAAATACTATTATAGATATGTAATATATAACTATATATATATAATATATATATATATATGTATATATCTTATATATATATATATAATACTATATAATATATATATATAATATATATGCATACACACACACACACAGGCACAACATCACACACACACACACCACACACACACACATCGCACTCGGCATAAGCGCACGANAACGTTTGAGCCAGTGTGAGTTAAGAGCGAAAATTACATATTTACAGGATTTATGGATGGGATAGAGGCAGATGAAACTGAAAGTGTTAATGATGATGAGAGATAAGTGATTGTGAAAGGAAAAAGAGAAGAAGAAGAAGAAGAAGTACGTTCATGGTGATGTAAGAGATCTGTAAAGAGAGACAAAAAAAAAAAAAATGAAAAAATAAAAAAGAAAAACGTTAATAATGTTGCAGATTTAGAATGGAAATATGGAGAAAAGAAAAAAAGAATTAACATTGATATCGAACATCTGTAGATTGAGAGAGAGCTAAAAAAAAACATGAAACAAAAACTATGATAATAATGTTATTAGCATTGATTTCTTTACTATTTCCCAGTCAGATAAACAGAAACTGTATTAACGAAATGTAGTAAAAAAAGAAAAAAATATATGTATATATACATAGATAGACAGATAGATAGATAGAGAGGGAGATAGATACAGAGATAGATAGATACAGAGATAGATAGATGATATAAAGATAGATAGATAGATAGATGAGTGATAGAGACAGATAGAGATAGATACATAGATAGATAGATAGACAGATAAATAGATAGACAGATAGAGATATAGAGATAGAGATATGAATATATCGAACAAAATGCAAAGGAAAGCGGAAAATATGGGAAACCTTGAGAAAAATCCTTCAGTGTTCATGTCGCAACAGACGCTCGCCATATTCGTTCAATTCGTTCAATTTTCCGAATGTGAATTAAGAGACAAAGCTCTGATACTGGAGAAATAAAGTATGAATTTATGAGGCTTTATCCCTTGTACTTCAGGTAATCAGATATATATGTATATATAAGTGTGTGTGTGTGTGTGTGTGTGGTGTGTGTTGTGTATGTGTATGTGTGTGTGTGTGTGTGTGTGTGTGTGTGTGTGTGTGTGTGTGTGGTGTGTGTGTGTGTGTGTGTGTGTGTGTGTGTGCAGTAAAACATAAATACATATACTAGTATATATCTATATTATATCTATCTATCTCGACTATTTTATATATATATATTATATATTATATAATATATATATTATAAAGAGAGAGAGCTAGAGAGAGAGAGAAACAGACAAACAGAGAAAGAGGGGGAGGAGAGATAAATAGGTATTGCATTTATACAATCATCAGATATTCTACACTAATCCTTGCAACTCCTAACCACGCTGACACATGTTGAAGGCAGTAAAAATCTAGATACTTAAATATGTGTATCTCTCTATATCCGTCCTTTTACCTGAAAGAAAAAATGTTCTTTGCGCCCGTATCCCTTGCGTTCAAAAAGGCCATAACATTACCTGCGTAGTTCCTGTCCACCTCTTTATAGGTACTAATATCACTGCTATCGGATGTGGTGGCTTGCAGGCGTCCTTCTTATCGTGTCTTCTTCCCTCCAGTTCTTCCTATAAATATTTACGAAATTGATAGATAATTTGCCGCGATAACCGGCCATTAGGCGGGGGAGACAGAAGCCCTAACCCCTCCCCCCCCACCGATGGACGCCGCAACGAGGGCCGGACGGTGTGATCAAGCCAATATCCCAGATGTAAGTTGCATAAATATTCACGATGCGCTGTTGCAAATTGTAAAACACAATGTCGTTGTTGAAAGGGAGGGCTGTCATTTCCCGCCGGTTCGATTGCAATGTCGCGGAGCGGTGTTCGGCAGCTGTCACCGGAGATTCGGGGATGGCGTTTTTTTTGCGCTGCTGGGAGCCTTCTGGATTTCGTCAGGCGGTTCTCTCGCTGCGAGGGGCGGGGCGTCTGATTGCCTGCGAGAACACGTGGATCGCCACCGGGTCAGTCGGCTGTTGAACCTCATGTACATGCAGGCACATCACACATATATTCACATCATACCACACCATGTGTGTGTTGGCAGTGTTGTGTGTTATATATATATCTATATATATATATATATATAAATTATAATATATACTAGTGTTGTATGTTAATATATATATTATATATTTCTACTTATATATAGTATATATATTATATATTATATATATTTATGCATATATCATATATATATGTGTGTGTGTGTGTGTGTGTCTATGTCAGTGTGTAGTATGTTATTGTTATGTATGTAATTACATACATATATATGTATATATATATTAATAAATTATTATTATATAGTATATATGGTGATCGATTGTTATGTCTATGCATATATTACTATATGTTATGTAGTATATATAGCCATATATACATATATTATAATATATTATATATATATATATATATATATATATATATATATATATAGATATATATATTATATTATTATAATATATATATTTATATATATATATATAGCTGTAGATGATATGATCATCATTTTTCATATAAATTATCTATATGTCTTCTTTCTAAATTTACTTACTTTGCATAGACGTTGGGGAAATCAAAATCGTAATTTGTAACCAATACTTTAAAAATTCTATCTATGACATGGACAGAACATTATTAACCTTACCAATCTCCGGTAGTGCCGCCACCACTCGAGAATTGGATTTAGAGGAAATCTCGAAAAAAAACAATTTTGACCGCCTAATTTTAGTTGGGTAGATGAATTGTAAGGTCTTAAGGCTTGCTGGGTGTATTGAATTCATTCTTTGCTTGAGTGTGCGCAAAATGTGCAATGGGCTTAGAAATGTCCATAATCAATAACTTTTCATTCTATAAAACATAATCATAATAAGTGGATATCACAAGGTAAATCTTACTGAACATTGTCATAAAAACAGTATTTATTCATTCCTACTAAGTTATTATACTTCAATAAACTCTCTTTTACTAATTATAAATCTAATAGTCATTACATAAACTAAATATATGTGACACGGAATCGAGATGCTTACCCAATCTACATTATCTTTCCATGCTTTACTTGCACATAAATTAATCATTACTTCTTTTTTGCTCTTCATATTTTCCTCTTACACTTTACTTTTAATAAATGATTCCACTCTCAATCTATTTAATTAATACCGCTGGAAATGTCACCTTTGATAACTCCGTTGCTGTATCCACGGGCCACTAAAACACTAAATAAATAACTAAAATGTTCCCTAACAAACAAAGCATCATGGTGTGTTGTATTAGACACATTTTCTCAACCTTTTCTTCACCTTGCATAACGGATAGAAGACAAGACTCATCTGAATTATCCCAGTTCAATACACAGGGATTTTATCATTATGTTAATCCATTTATCAAGCATTACAATATATAATACCAGGATAAAATACGACTTTTTTATACCAGCAATGAACGTACTTATATACGAGGCAGAAGCAAGACGCATCTGACAAGACGGTGTTAAATTTTCAAATTGCTCTCCTCCAAACGAATTGTTAACATAAAACAAATAATCATAAAGGATTATTATGATTGACTTATATCTTATAAAAAGAAATTTTGATATATTTGTATACCTTTAGAAATAAAAATATGTAAACAAATGTTTCATTAAAGTTATACATCTTTAAATTAGAACTAACTGACCTTTTTAAATGTCAAATCTATAATGATTTTGACAGATATATATATTATATATATAGTATTAATAATCTCATATATATATATATATATATATGCATATACACATATGAAATATGAATATATTAGATAGGCAGACATATTATATATATATATATATATATATATATATATATATTATATATATATATAGATATATATATATATATATGCGGGGGGTGTGTGTGTGTATTATGCATGTATGTATTTAAACATGTGTATATATGTGTATGTATGTATAAGTATATATTATATATATATATATATATATATATATTATATATATATATTATGTATTTTATGTTGGTGTGTGTTTTTGTGTGTGTGTGTGTGTGTGAGTGTGTGTTGTGTGGTGTGTGTGTGGTATAGAAGAGAGAGAGAGAGAATGGGAGAGAGGAAACAGACAGACAGACAGAGAAAAAAGGAATGGAGAGAGAGAAGAGGAGGAGAGAGGAGAGAGGAAGAGAGGAGAGACAGCCGGAGACAGAAAGGAAGGAGAAGAGGAGAGAGAAGATGAGAGAGAGAGAGAGAGAAAGAGAGAAGAATAGAAAGAACGCAAGAGGAGAGAGCAGACAAGAATGCGACAGTAATTTTTCATAATCACCTCTCTCCTTGGCACGTATAAAGGGGGAACAATTAAAAAACAGTTGTTTTCTCGCCTTGATTACAGAGATGCTTCGATTTCACGCTGGAAGCTGTAAGGCTTTGTACACACACAGCCTGAGGGTAAGGAGGCGGGGGGGTGGGGGAGGGTGGGGGTAGAGCGTCTTAATACAGATGGACGGGGGAGGAGGGGGAGGAGGGGAGGAGGGAGGTGGGGAGGCGAGGGAGAGGAAGAGTGAGGATGAGGGTGAAGGAGGAAGAGGGAGGGATGAGGGGAAGGAGGGGAGGTGAGGAGGCGAGGGGAGGAGGGAGAGGGGGGATGAGGGGGAAGGGAGGGGAGCGAGAGAGGAGATATCCTTTGAAGACGTCAGGTGGTCAGATCACCTGTTTATAATGTTTGTTAGGTTCGTAAACGGCTTTTAGAAGTCCGTTTTTATTTATCTTCACGATGTGATGCATGTTATGTTATATACGAGCATTCATTGCGGTGTTTAGCTTGTCAGAATATGGATAAAATAGATACATTACTTTAGCCGTGTTTATGCGTGTTCATGCAAACAGTGAGTGTGGCTTATGAAAACACGAAAATAGATGCGCCACAATAACAAGTCCAGAGATAAAACCACAGCGAAAATTTACGATGCAATTGTTCGTAACTCGCCGGAATTTCTTTCTCCTTATTATGCTTATTTAGTGCTAGGAATAATCACTAGTTTTATAACTCATGAATCTTGGTCGAAGCAGGAGAGTCGCACACATGCTTCGGTCAACTGTTTCGAACGCTCACGAATCCTTTCTTGATTTTTTAACCACGCTTGATAGAATTTAAATTAAAAATGAAAGCGCACAGATATAAATTACAAAACGTTGGGCAGAGAGACTAAAATTAAATAAAAACCTAACGAAGAAAGGTTAGCTTCTGTTAGCAAAACTAAGGCAACTTCAATAACGCTCGATGAACACTGTTAAGGAACCGAATAAAAACACAATGAAGAAAGTTGAGCCATTGTTCGAAACCCAACGAAATGGCATAAAACGGGTACAACGGAAATTCCACAGTAGGAAACCATCAAAACTACGTAAAGACCTATTGATACAACGAAGAAAGCCCAGCCACTGTTTAAGACTCCCAGCGGAATGACGAAAAGCAGATACCACTTCCTAAAAATAAGAATATAAGTAAAGGGCTACTGACCGAGGGAAAGGCGGAGAGCCCCGAATGGTAAGACCTGAAGAGAGAGAGAGGGAAGAGAACGAGAGAAGAGGAGAGACAGACAGACGAGAAGAGAGGGAGAGGGAAGAGAGGGAGAGGACAGAGAAAGAGACAGACAGAGAAAGAGAGAGGGAGAGAGAACCAGAGAAAGAGACAGACAGACGACAAAGACAGAGAAAGAGAGAGGGAGAGAGAACCAGAGAAGAGACAGACAGACAGACAGAGAAATGAGAGAGGGAGAGAGACCTGAGAAGAGACAGACAGACAGAGAAGAGAGAGGAGAGAGAACGAGAGAAAGAGACAGACAGACAGAGAAAGAGAGAGGAAGAGAAAGAGAGAGATAGACAGACAGAGAAAAAAGAGGAGAGAGAGAGAGAGAGAGTGTCTCCCCTGTCAACTTCGACATTTGGTTCCTCGAAGAAGTGAGGATTGCGAGCGCGCGAGAGCTCATCGCGAGGTACAGTTGATTCTTCTGAACGGCCCATGAACTTTTCCTGAGTGGTACTTGTTCCGACGGTGCTGAAGAACGAATCTCCTTTCGTTATTATATACTTTTACGAGCTCGTTCTATTAGATATGAGCCAAATGATAGCCATTACACTCATCGCCATTCAAACAGGGTTAAGAGGTGATGCAGAACCTCAGGGCAAGACTGTTAATGCGTCTGTATTACACTGGATTATACTCATCACAAACCAAAGAAACAAGACTTCCAAACCCGCGGGCGATGTTATTCGAGAATGACACACAAGCCGTGTCGCCGTGTCACGGCGCATAACTCTCCTCTTCTCGTCCTCGCACTCTTTTCCTCTCTCCTTTCTTCTCTTCCTCTTCCTCGCTCTTCCACTTTTTCCTCGTTTCTACTCTCTCCGGTTTCTTGCTGTTCTCTCGCCTCCTTTATACTCGATCATCCTCTGTCCTTTCTTTCTTCTTCGATGCCTCCTTCCTCTCCTTTTGCCTCTAACTCGATGATCAGCCTTTTCCTTTCCCTGTGTCCTTTTCCTCTGCAGTCATGTCTTTCCCCTAGATGGATGTAAATTATTATCATTTTTAGTGTATTATATTAGTTAATTATCTTTATTATTTGAGAATGCATGATCTATAATTTATTATTATTAATT